TGGGTTTCAAACAGCGGGCTTGGGTTTCCTCATATTCGCTACAGCTATACATGCCAGGCTCTAGCTAGTTGATGAACTTGAGGGCTTCTCTTGGGGAGGAGCCAGGCTGGGGAGTAGGATGTCATTAATAATCTAATTCTACTTATAGTTAGGGTTATAATTATATAGATTATAATATAAGGGATTCGAACTGGACTTCAGGTCAGGTTGGGGGTGATGGGGAAAGCCCAGGCTGTAGCTAGTTTTATAATAACTGACGATATTATATAATTGATATATGCCCTGGGTTTCAAACAGCGGGCTTGGGTTTCCTCATATTCGCTACAGCTATACATGCCAGGCTCTAGCTAGTTGATGAACTTGAGTATAAATATATTATAATATATTTATATTCAAGTTCATCAACTAGCTAGAGCCTGGCATGTATAGCTGTAGCGAATATGAGGAAACCCAAGCCCGCTGTTTGAAACCCAGGGCATATATCAATTATATAATATCGTCAGTTATTATAAAACTAGCTACAGCCTGGGCTTTCCCCATCACCCCCAACCTGACCTGAAGTCCAGTTCGAATCCCTTATATTATAATCTATATAATTATAACCCTAACTATAAGTAGAATTAGATTATTAATGACATCCTACTCCCCAGCCTGGCTCCTCCCCAAGAGAAGCCCTCAAGTTCATCAACTAGCTAGAGCCTGGCATGTATAGCTGTAGCGAATATGAGGAAACCCAAGCCCGCTGTTTGAAACCCAGGGCATATATCAATTATATAATATCGTCAGTTATTATAAAACTAGCTACAGCCTGGGCTTTCCCCATCACCCCCAACCTGACCTGAAGTCCAGTTCGAATCCCTTATATTACTCTATAATTATAACCCTAATAAATATATAAGTATAATTAGATTATTAATGACATCCTACTCCCCAGCCTGGCTCCTCCCCAAGAGAAGCCGTGGGCCAGAGTCCATTTTCTTCTGAAGTTTCTTCCCATGCCGCTCCTTGGCACATACACAGATTTCGCGACTGGGTTGGGGTTTACAAGCTCCTGGGATTGAATTATTACGGGTTCGTTATAAAAAGAATAGATTTCAACTAAGATGGCTTCCCATATGGAGACAGCAAGAATCCACGGATTTTAAATGCAACCGCAAGATTTTCTTGCAGAACTTGCGCGGGTACTCCTGCGTTTTCTTCAATAGCCTGTCACCAGTCCTGGGCCAGCACAGGAGTTGCAGTTGGGGTCAGGGCCCAGTTCTCTACACTAGACATATACATTATAATTATATATTAGAATTCCAAGCCAAGCATCACAGCTACTCTGCCATGCCTGACCCTTCGATGAACCACCCCATGTGAGGAAAGACGGAGCCTTTCTCGACGTGCATTGGACAGCTTCTTGCCCAAACGTCCAATAAAGGGCCTTGGTCGGGAATTTTGGAAGTTGAGGATGATGATGCAATTGTGTGCTTGCTAGACTGGTCAGGACTCACATGAGGCATTGACAGGTTGCTGTAGGCTAGGGAGCCCTTGCAGCTGAAGTGTCCATAGTTGCCCATCCAACTTAGAGTGCACTGATCATGGTACAAGGAGTGATGAAGTACATGGGTGAGCATGCATCACACAACATTGTCAGAGGGCTCGGCAAGAACACCCTGTGTACAGGGATAACCTCGCTGATCATGTCGAACACATCACGCACAAACGGCAGCAACTCCAGCTTGGAAGAAAACGGTTGTTCAAGCATGAAGAGAACTCGTCGTGCCGTGAGCAAAAGAAGCAACAAGCACACCCGTGCTGCAATCCTCAGATAACAGCAGGGATCATAATTCACATGAAGCCCATGGTTCACCAGTTCACTTGATCATCTTTCTATCCAAGCAACTTGTTGCCTTTGGCGACATGTGGCAGATCTTCATTGCCATAAGGACGTGCTGCTGATCTCTTTGATGTTGCTGAATTAATCCAAACAAAGGATCCACAGGGCAATCCAATTGTTGCCAAGGCCAGAGGCTTCAGCTTCAAGATGCAGCGAACAGCTGATATAAAGCCAACCCTTAGCTCTAATATTCTATGCATCATGACACTGCATTATTGCTTGCGACTGCCATCCAAGGAGCGTGGTGCAGATATCATCGTCGATGCGAAGTGTCATATCCATATAGTCACTTAGCTTCAAATCATACCCTCCTCGCGATTGAGAGCTAGAGCAATTTTAGTATTAGTATTACTTTAGAAGGTAGATAGGGACAATTCAATTGCAGATGAGAGGCCTCCTCATGCCGTCCCGACCTGAGTGCATGCGCAAACATGAATGAACACGTAGAATGCAAGACGGCCATACACAGGATCTGCTGCAAACAAGGCACAGTATGCTCTTTGCATGTTTCGTGCCCCGGCAAACATGTCGTAGTGCATAAGGTCCTGGGTCGCAGACTAGCTTATTATATAGCGTATGTACTATAACACGAGGCCGTGACCCGAAAGCTCATGTTTGGCGGAGAATTCTGGGCCACGTAGTCCGCCACTTGGATCCTTGTGTAGCTCTAGCAGGTCTCGGGCTTTTGAATTGTAGTTGCATTGCAATATTGGGACATGAATATGTCCAGATGAGCTACAATGCTGAGTGAGCCCCCATCATGACCAGGAGTGCTGCCGCTGATGACGACAGTGACAATGGGCTGCTTTGCGGAAAGCGATCCATGGATTTAAATCCGGCCAGGTTTTGTTGGTGGGATCTATTTAGGGTGTCCAGGGTGAGGGTGTACGTTATTATATGGAAACTATCTTTATATATATATTCTATATATATATATATATAGAGACATTAAAATAACTAATAGGATAATTATAGGGTTGGGGGACTTGGTTACTATGCTGGCTTGGAATTCCTATTTCGTCTAACCCCATAGCTAGCGATCTCCAATCACAAGCCGGAGCAGACCTGGCATACGGTTCCACTATACGTAGTAGGTATACCTGCTGAAACTCATTCCTCGCCCCATACCAAGACATGCATGTGCGAGACGATATCTCATTTTTTTGCATCTCTCGTTGAAAGTCAACAAGACTGTCCCAGTCCGAATTGGGTGTACAGGCGGCACAAGTGTTCTCAACTTACACCCTAAGCGCATACCAGTGTATATATATATATATATATGTGTATATATATAGGTCTAGGCAAACCTTATTACTCCCTCTATGGTAGCCTGCTCAATCCCTGCTGTACACCAACAGCAGCTTTGCAAGGTAGCTGTGAACCTGGGTGGTAGCTGCTGTCCTGTGGCCTACGTCTTGGGCGCCGGAAGAGGCCAGTATGGCTTCAGCCACCCAGCCACTTTTTTCGCAAGTCTGTACCTGGAAATCGGGATATCAGGATCTGATCGGGGATCTCATAAGTGCATGGATCTGACTTCGAAGAGCAGCCGGGGCACACTCGTTGAAGATCCCCCAAATCGCCCTTCTTCCAAGCCAGGCTCACACCCTCGTTCTTGTTCGCCTGCAACAATCCAAATACATCTTATAAGAATTCGATTCTAGATTGGAAAGTATGGAGGAAGCACGACTTTCATATGTACGGGTATAATTAGTAAATTAGTAATACACGTAGGATTCCTCGGCACATCTGGCCGCCATGGATTTCGAAATTGCACTTGCTGATGGAAGCTCCAGTGATGGTATGGACGGTGCGGGTTCCAGCACGAGCACATGGTCACTTATATCTAGGCATGTGCACGATCTCGAACAACGTGTACAACAACTGGAGAGAGCAATGCCGCCGCCTTGCATCGTCGTGTCTTACAGAGCCTGTGATTTCGTTGGCCGAATGTTGGTGCGGATGTGTCGCCGCTTGTATGAGCTCGTGATGAACCGTCCTTATTCTGCTGGTCCAGCTCGCAATCGACCGGCTCGATATCCCGAGGCAGTCTGACATTGAATGTATGCTAGTCGATATATCAGACTATATACCACCGGCGCTGGGATGCAAAAAAATCTGTTGTTTCTTTGGGCTTATCATTGGGGTATTTTCGGATGATGGTTCAGGGCCTGAGTCTGTGTCCGATCCCCTCAAAACCCCTATTTATGTTGTCTAATAGAAAACCCCATGGTCACAAAGGCAGCAGGCCTTGAGGTTGGCATCGGAGGTGTATTTGTTGATGGCTCGGAGACGTTCAGGTGGAACTTTGCTCACATAAAAGCCACCTTGGAGCCTTGGCTGAACATCATTGTAAACTTGTAGGAAACATGTATCTATGATCTCATGTAGTGACAATGTACGTAGTGTGCATCCCAACTGCAAAGTTTGGATGGAGCGTGCACCACCATCCTTGTTCTCCTCCTGCACCTTCGGGGAGGGATTCAGCGTAAAGGACCTTGGATACAAACCACATTTGTAATACACAGGAAACACGACCCGAAGCAGAAGCCCAACTTACTTAGAGGATCATGGGACTTAGTAATGTAGGTTATAACTGGGGTTATATATAAGTCCCCTAAGTGGGGTTATCCTAATTATAACCTACTTATAACCTTACTTACTAAGTCCCATGAGCCTTTAAGTAAAGATGATTAATGGCAAGCCACGCAATGTCCGAAAAGTCAGTCGGCAGCAGCATACTGTTGTCCAACAACCGCAGCTGTCGGAGGTCGTGGAGAACCGAGTCTTTCTTCGCCTTGTCACAGTGATAATGCGTAAGTTTTGCAGGATTGTGTTCAACAGGAATCTATATAAGAACATGTACACATGCGTAGCGGTCCCTGCCTCAATCTGTTGTCTTGACTTGGGCATGGGGTTGTCGGCGTCGTACTTTGGCTTGGACTTTCTCTTACACTTGGCTAGCCGAGGGGTCCATCCAGTCGACTTGTGAGGTCGCAGCAGCCCAACAGGGGATCCAGCCGGCTCCTGTAGAAGACAAGCTATTCTAGCGATTTATAATTAGATCTTCTTGCAATTCGAGTTTATGGGAGGTTTCAATTACAGTAGGGGTTCAGGTTCTTCAGTCCTGCTGGGGCTCATCTTCTGCCTCATTGTCATTCTTTCTCGGTGGGGTGCTTCCCACAACTTTTTTGGACTTCCTGCCACCCTTCTTTTTCATCTTTCTTTTTTTCTTCACAACCACACCAGCAGGTGGCTCGCCATCTGCATCCATTGCGTCCCACGTGCAGCTGGAAGCCGGCTGCTCCTGGACGGAACTTAATTTTGGGGCTTTGGGGTTTAGGGAATAAGTTATTAAAATTCTTAAAACACATAGATACACGTACTTGTGGTATATATACGTACATATAATTAATATATAGATACAATATATTGTATATATATATATATATTTATTTATTTATTTAAATTATATATACAGATCATATTATGATCATGAATACCATACATACGTATCCCGGTAGCCATTATTATTTGCAAATGGCCTCCACTTGTGGCCACGGCTCTTCGCTGCAGTGCTCGAACTCGAGGCGGCGCTTTACACCTTTCTGGCGTTTGGCATGATCTGCACCACCCCCACATCCTGCTGCATCATCCTTTCCTTGGGCTTCTTCCTCAAACCCTGCTGCATCATCCTTTCCTTCGGCTTTTTCCTCAAACCCTCCTGCAGCATGCTCTCCTTCGCCTTTTGCCTCACACTCTGCTTCATCATGACATTCTTTGCTCTTTCTACCTTTCTTTTTCTTTCCTTTGCCCTTCTTAGCCTTCTTCTTTTGATCTTCATCGGCTTCTTCACGAACATCATTCTTCACCTGCTCTTCTTCTTTCTCTAGCTCCAAAGCCTCACTCAACACCTCATCTGCTTCCCTGTCATCTTCCAACACGGCGTTGGTCTCTGCTGTTGCTTCTGCTTTTGCTTTTGCTTTTGCTTTTGCTTTTGCTTTTGCTTTGCTTTTTGCCTTTGCCTTTCCTTTCGCTTTAGCTTTGGGCTTGCCTTTGGATTCGGGGCCCCGGTCCTCATCAGCTTCATCTTCTGCTGGGCCTTCACGTATGGTTTTTCGAAGCTTTCTTTGCTCCTCGAATTGCATAATATATATATATATATAGAGAGAGAGAGTAGAAACATTGAACGATTTAGCAGTACAACCCACCTGCAAGACGTTGTCACTTAAGGGCCCTGTCTTCTTCTCCAGCTCCTCGACCAGTTTGTCGGCTTCAGCCAGCCTTTGATCTAACGTCTGCCAGATTGGCCACGGTATCGAAGTCAGCGGCACCCTGCCATCGTCCTGACAAACAGGTTGATTAGCTTGTACATGATTTGGTATAATCTATTTCTCTCTCTATTTCTCTCTCTGTCTCTCTCTGTCTGTCTCTCGCGCTCACAAAGATGCACCTTGTAGTTCTCCTCAAAAGCATCATCCTCATCTGCTGCTGCTTCCATCGGCAGCTCCCTGTCTGCCGCTTTGGTCGGGGTGCTAGCGCCAGCGTCCTGCCATATATATTTTAGGTTATAATAGATCAGCAATCAGAATGCCTAAAGAGGCACCTCGTATTTGCCATCGGGAACACTGTCATCCTCTACCACCACCGGCCACGGATCAAAGATCGGCTGGCTATCTGGGAATTCCATCCGCGGCTGGGCATCCTGTCCACACATTAATAAGGCTTGAAACTCTATACATGTATACACGAGTATACGGGAACATGCATGCGGTCCTTGCTACTGTCATCCCACGAGCTTGTTGCTGTTGCGATAGCAGGTGGCACCTGCAAGTTATACAATCATGGGAACCCCGGCATGTAAACAGACTACTTGCAATTGTGCTTCTGGCCTCCTGTGTTTCCTCAGTCTTTTGCTTCTTCTTCTTCTCGGTTGAGGCCGTCTTTGCTGCTACCGGGGACTCCTGTGTTTCCTCAGTCTTTTGCTTCTTCTTCTTCTTTGTTGAGCCCGTCTTTGCTGCTACGGGGGACTCCTGTGTTTCCTCAGTCTTTTGGTTCTTCATCTTCTTCGTTGAGGCCGTCTTTGCTGCTACGGGGGAAAGAGCCAACTCCTGCCAGTACATGGAAAATCACAAATGTGCATTGTTTGGTTATGATGATCCATGCAAGCAGCCTCGAGCTTGGGACACCTGTCTGGCGTCTGCCCTGGCAACATGACCTCAGCAAGGGCAGTTACAACTAGAAATTTCTCCAATTAATTTATTTTGCTGCCTTGTCCACACCAAAGTTCAGCTTGTCGGTGGGGCTGCTTGGACCAGGCACCTGCGAAACGAGCATTATGATAAGGAACACAATATATATTCTTTGTTAATTATTATTAGAGTCATAGTAGAATCCTGCACCTCCTGTGTTTCCTCACTCTTTTGCTTATTCTTCTTCGACATTGCCGGTGAGCTCGAATCCACAGTGACCTATGCAATCAGACATGTTTGAAGGCCACCGAAACACATTATAATGTTATTATTATCACGTAATGGCGCTGCTGGCTTGCCTTCGAAGCAGACAAGGACATGTGCTCTTTCCTCCTTTTGTTCTTCGTCGAAGATCTTGGTGGGGACGGTGTTGGGGATCTCGATGGCCGTGGAACCTCAAGTAGATGATTTGGTCTAGGTCTAGAATCTATATATATGTCTACAAGAATTTAATATCAGCCTGGCAACATCTCCTTCTTCCAGAAACTCAGAGCTCGAAAACTGAGAGCTGCGAATCGGAGCAGCCTGCCACAGATTTCTCGATCATAACTTGCATCACTAGCATAGAATCAGAAGAGATACCTTGCGAAGCACCGGGGCCGCATTCGAAGTCTCATTCTCCTTAATTATTGTATTTTCGACCCCCACTCAGAAGATCATACCCTGCGTATGGCAAAGGCTGTGGTCGCGACTGGTCCACGCAGCTCAGATTGAGTCTCATCTGCAAGACTTCCTTGTTCGTCCTGCGGCACAAATCTCCAGCAGAAGCCCAGCCATTATTTATTGATTTCAATTGCACAGTTATTAGATCCTCCATGTCACTTGGGATGCAAGGGATGCACTTGTGGGGCTCGACAATAATCACATCGTCGTCTGAATCTTCTGCTCCTGCAGACAGTTTAATTAAAGCAGAATATAGATTGCAGGGATTACACGTACAGTCCTGCCAACACTTGCGTTTCGTCAGTGTCCATTCCATACGGCAGTTTCTTGCCATCAGCCTGAGGATCACAACGAAAGAAACATATATTGGAATGAAGAATTGAAGTACTCCTAGCCTCTGGATCCATTCCTCGGACCGTCTTGACGATTCGTTTCAAAAGCGCCATACGATCGTGGCCACCCCTAGCAGACAACACAGGGTTATTTTGTATGTAGGCTACAAACTTGAACCCGGCCTTGCCCCGGAGTTGGCTCCGAGCCGCCGGTGCACATAAGCCCCGAGTGCCCGGTGCAGGCCGCCTTCGATCGACGCCCAATCCTGCGAGCTCGAGTGGTGCTTCACAGCTGATTGGGGTTGAAGATTTGGTTTAGGGGTCCTGGCCTAGGCTTTATTATCAGGGCTCCTGGGGTTTTGGGTGAAGGGTTCCGTAATTATAGGGATACTCCAGGGATATGGGCCTGGGGTTTGGGGTGAACGTTTCGATTCCCTAAGGGATACTCCAGGGATATGGGGTTTAGGAGTTGGGGGTTTGAGTCAGTGCTTCAGGGACCATTGCAAATGTTCCTATGGGGTTTTGGTTTAGGTGCCTTTTTTAGGGTTTCTTTTTTAAGGATATCCAGTCCTTGAGCTGCCCTTTCGTAATGTTCTTCGAAACGATGCCATGGTCCACTGCCACACTGCAAAGTGCTTCCTGCATGCAGTGCATAATTCCATGATAGATCATCACTCCACTGATTCGTGAATGGCCTGAGATTCCTTCTGGGTCGGGATCACCGGGAATAAGCCCAAGTAGTTGGAAAGAAACTCGTAGTTGGTGGTATTCTCCTGCACCTGAGCTAAGCACAAATGCATATATATTGTTCCAACGGCCACCCTGATTATGATCCGCATAAATCAGCCATGTGGCATCATGCTCTGTGATGCTGCGGCCTTTGACGTCAACCAAGCTAAACGTCACGGGCACCTTAATTTTGGGAAGACAGCTATAGCTAGCACCTAATATATATACAAAGAACAACAATCCTACATGTACACATATGATTTTAAGCAGAGCAGCAACACCACGCTTCAGACATCGAGCGAGTTTCTTGGGCCCGACGCTCTGCTCTCTGCAGATGGCCTCAAACCGCTTCGTCACAAAGTCTTCATCGGACAGGAAGCTCTTGTAGAGTTCCTGCCCGGTGAGAATATTATAGGAAGACATGTGCGCAGCATGCAGTGAGAAAGAGAAGAGAGATAATCAGAGAGATCATGTGTGAGAGAAACAGGAATAAAATTAATGCAAGCAGGCCTTCAGGAAGAGCACCGTTCGAGGGTTCGGCTTTGTGGCGCCCATGCCACGATCTAGCTAGGCTGACCCTGCACTTCAAAACTTGCCCCAGGATACATATTATTAGGGCATTGGAACCTTCAAGCCCCAGAATGTGATTATTAATTTTGCTTCGAGACTTCCACTGACCTCTGTATTAGATC